GTATCTTTAAAAATGTCAATAGTTCACAAGGTTATTTCTTAACTATGTATCTTGAGATAGAGCATTTTCGAATGCAGCCTAAATACTTATCACAATAAATTAACTATCGGTGAGAATGATATGAAATCTTGAAAAGGCACAAATTCAAGTCAAGACCTTTGCAATGGGTAATCGGAAAAAATTTTTAATTTATGAAAAATTCATATCATTTCATTAAAATTATTATAAAATAAAAATTATAATAATAATAGAAATTTAATAAATCTGAAATAATATTTATTTATTTATTTATCAAACTGTGAACCCAACCAATAATATGAATTTTTCATGACTTTAAAATTTTTTCCAGGTCTCTTTTTTCCGGGATTTTTTGCAATGATACTAAATTTCACTAAAAAAAACCGATTTTATCATATGACTATTCTAGAGACAAAATTTTTCTTATTCTCTTAATATAGATTTAAAATTTTATTTCTATTTAATTTGTATTGAGCAATCCTCCTTGACTCTATGCTGTAAGAGTAACCTTCTCTTTTTGTAAGCATTATTAAATAAATAAAAAAATATAAATCTCCAGTAATTAAATGAAATTTACATAAATTTTATCACTGTTAAATAAACCTCGATCTATTAATCTCAAATGTATGTCTTCACTTTAGTAGACAGCTTATTAATCCAAGTGATTGGAGTGTTGAGAAATCTAAATTAAATATATTTTCAGAAAGTAAGAGTGACAGGTTCATAATGTAAATCGCGAGAGGAACGTTTGTCACGGGGAGACGACCTGAGGTAAATATGATGTGATGCGAGTAACTGAGTTACTAATTGAATGGAGGAGTCTCTTAGGACTAGCATGTCAGAATTACTCTGATTACATAAATTTCACTCATGTTGTGTTTTTTTTTTTCCACTCTTGGCTTCTTTTATTACTACCAAAAATTAATTTTTACATTTTAAATTAAATTTGAGATTTGTATTTTTTTATCAAGCTAATAAAAGCGATCTTGATCCAGATTTTTACCCCCGACAATTTGAATTTCGCAGTTTAATTGACTAGTCTTAAACGAAGAGTTTTTACCGGGAATTTTTTTACTTAGCACACCTATCCAAGCCGGGTCAAAATAAGTACACTGTGAATACCAGTGAAACATCGTATATCACTTGGTGATCTGTGATATCTCAAGGGTCGCATTACCTCTGTAAAGGGATAAGCGAAATCCTTTTTGTCGATGCTTCTTCTACAAATTACATCCTGCTACTGCGTCACCTTTCTTTGCTACTATCCTCACTACAGGATTATTAAAAGCGCAAATGTTTCTGAAAAAATCTAATAATTATCTTATTGTAAAAAATTTATTATTGACAATATATGCTGATGATTTATTGTGAAACAATATACACGAAAAATAACTAATAATAATTTATAGTAATTATTCAATTATATTCCGTCGGATATAAAATTTTTGTTTTAGTATTTCATTAATAATAGACTTGAAAAAAAATTAAGGAAAAAAAAATCTAAATTATTCTTTAATTTTTGAAATTTAAGGCCAAAAAATTTTCAATTACAATTTTTACGCGCAAAAGAAAAATTTTTTTACTCTTCTGCTCCGTCTAAGAGCTTGAAAACTATTTTTTTTTATGCTTTTTTTCATCAAAAAAAAAAAGAAAAAATGGATTTTTTTGTCTTAAACTAATTGTTGGTTGCTGAGTTACTAATAAATAATTTCCCACTTTCAATGTAGGATTTTTAAAGATAAGAAAACAAAAATTACGCTCTTGCAATTGCTACTAATTTTAGATACAACAATATTAACGATTCTGAAATCACCAGTTTTTTTTTTTACAAATTAATGATGTAAGAATATTTTTTTCAATTTTTCCTTCTAATTATTCTTGTAATATCAATTAATAAATTCTTGTAATATTATCATTAAGTGATAAGATACAATGTAATTTCTTAGTTATTGATATTTTTAAAAATATAAGCTCATCCTGATGGTACACTCATCGAAACCTTTCATTTGAATACCCACATGCATTTTTCATATATTTGATATTTTTGATATTTGTGAAATATATAAAATATATAAAAAATGCATGTGGGTACTCAAATGAAAGGTATCGATGAGTGTAACATCAGAATGAACTTATATTTTTAAAAATATCATTAGGTGACGAAATATAGTGTTGTTTCTTAATTATTGAAATTTTAAGAATGTAAGCACATTCTGATGTTACACTCATCGAGACTTTTCATTTAAGTACCCACATGTATTTTTTTATATATTTTATATAAATGATATTTCTGATATTTGTGAAAGATATAAAATATATAAAAAATTCATGTTGGTACTCAAATGAAAGGTCTTGATGAGGATAACATCAGGATGAGCTTATATCTTTAAAAATATCAATAATTAAAAAATTACACTGTATCTCGTCACCTCATGATATTTTACCTTGTAATTATTTTTTTTAATTTCTAGGTTTAAAATTTTTTATTAAAATTTTTTCATCCAGGCTCGAACCCCATACCTTTAAGACACAACAAAAATATTAACTACTTCGCTATTCTTTTTTATTACAGAGGATAATACTGTTTCAAAAATTTAGTCTCAAGGTTTTTTTCAATTTATTTTTATTCTGTAGTTATTAAAGAACATTGCAATAAAAAAATAAAATTACAATAAAGCATATTACGAGTATTAATCTCTCAATTTTTACAATCTTCTCGCTGGAAATTATGGCAAATAATTATAATATTTTTTTCATCAACCCGACGCTCCGAATTCTTCCTTAATTTCAACATTTTTATCGGTCATCGAATCAGTGTAGAAAAGATTGAAATCCAATCTGTAATAATATTAAACTTAATATCAACTTTGGCTCTTAAATATTGCGATTATTATTATTATTATTATTAATTTTTTTTTAAATATTTAATATTATACCTGCATAATACATTGAGTAATTTTTCAAAATCATTATTACATCCTAACGCAATAATTCGATTTAATAACCTATGTAAGGCACCGGTAAATTGAACATCTAATGAGTTAATGGTTTCTTCAAAACTCCCACTAACGATTGACTTTGTTTTGCTTTCCTAAAATAAAAAGAAAATTAAATAAATAATTAATTATTTTATCAATGAGTAATGATGAAAATACAGTTGATCAATTAAAATTTTATTATTTTTAAACTAATTTTTTATAAATGAATTACTAAATGTTAAAGTTAAATTTTATTAATACTAAACTCTAGCCTAAATTTCAAGCAAAATAATTTCTATCAAGCAACATATTCTCATGCGTTGAAAATAAAAAATGTGGATTGTAACTAAATGTGCTTGTAAAAATGACTGACAAATATCTTAAAAATGATATTTAATGCTTCATACAAAAATAATCATTACCTCAAACTAATTTTGAGTTTTTGTAAAATTCTAAACTTTTTATGCAACCTAATACTTTGTACTACTTTTAATTATTAACGATAAAATACCTCATACTCGGAACGATCGAGATGATTTTCTTGAATCATTGATGATAATTCAGCGTCAATGTAGTAACAGCTCATACTCTTAATACAAAGTTGGTTTTTATTAAATCATCTTCAATGACTTAATTACCATTGTTGATATTATTTTTTAATTCAATGCAACTTTTTACAAATGCGATTTTAGGCGTTAAAATTTTTTATATTTTTTTACATATAGTATTGGTGAAATATATAAAATATACAAAAAATGCATGTGGGTACTCAACCTAAAGGTCTCGATAAGGGTAATATCAGGATGAGCTTATATCTTAAAAAATATCATTAGGTGACGAAATACAGTCTAATTTCTTAATATATATATGATATTTCTGATATTTGTGGAATATATAAAATATATGAAAAATTCATGTGGGTATTCAAATGAAAGATATTGGTGAGTGTAACATCAGGATGAGCTTATATCTTAAAAAATACCAATTGTTAAGAAATTACACTGTATCTCGTCACCAAATGATAATATTAACGATTTAAGCTCGTCCTGATGTTACACTTATCGAGAACCTTTAATTTGAGTACCCATATGAATTTTTTATATATTTTGTATATATGATATTTCTGATATTTGTGAAATATATAAAATATGTGAAAAATTCATGTGGGTACTCAAATGAAAGATCTCGATGAGGGTAACATCAGGATGAGCTTATATCTTTAATATTATTATTAGGTAACAAGATACAATTAAATTTCTTAATTATTAATGTTTTTAAAGATTTAAGCTCGTTCTGATGTTACACTTATCGAGACCTTTCATTTGAGTACCCACATGAATTTTTTGTATATTTTACATATATGATATTTCTGATATATGTGAAATATATAAAATTTGTAAAAAATGCATGTGGGTACTCAAATGAAAGGTCTCGATGAGGGTAACATCAGGATGAACTTATATCGTTGAAAATATCAGTAGGTGACGAGATACAGTGTAATTTCTTAATTATTGATATTTTTTTTAAATATACGATCATTCTGATGTTACTCTCATCGAGACCTTTCATTTAAATACTCATATGATTTTTTTATGTATATGATATTTGTGAAATATTTATGAAGTACTCATATTTATTTATATTTCGATGCAAATATTTTTAAATGCTTCGCAACCTATTTTTTATTTTCAGTACGAAAAAATCATATTTTTGAATCCACCCTAATAAATAAATATTGCTTAAAAAGTATTCCAAAAATTAATTAACTACCTCGATAAAGTTGCAAAATTGGAGGCAGATGTTACATATTCCTGTGATAGATGACAACAATTCAGGATCAGTTAACATACATTCCTTCAAATAACTATCTTGTAAATCTTGATGAACAGTCAAAACATCATCAACATTGGTCACCTGAAAATTTTATATACAAATAAAATTACTCTGTATGCACATGACCTTAATATGAAGTCATACATAAGTCATAAGAATGTCACGATATTTTATGTAAATTTGAGGTAAAATTGATCTTGCTTATGATCCTACTTCCTACTATGATATAAAAATTTATCATTACATGCAATCGACATAATATACAAATAACAGTATTATTTATATCACATTAAATAAAAATCATCAGTGTACAATCTGACTTTAACATAAAAAATTTACATCAGAGTTGTATAGAATATTTATGTAATTTTAGTCATGATTTTTTACTATCGATTTATTTTAACACAAGTATTATTTATAATTAAAAAAAAATTTTTTTAAGCTTGTAAAAATAATTTTTTTATCTCTGAACACAATTTTTTGTGACCTAGTCATCAATTTATTTCAGCAAGAAATATAAGTTAAAGTTAGTTAAATATTTTATACTTACTTTACCCATTTTATTAATAAATGTCTGCCAATTTGGTTCAATAACTTCGACCATCATATAGTATTCTAAATGTTGAATACAATCCAACATACGGTGCCTTAATGAAAATGCTTGACGATAAGCCATCGCTGCAGTGTGAGTAAATGTTTTAGCTATTTTATTACTAATCCACACTCTGAAAATTAAAATTTCAATTTATTAATTTATTTATTTATTTAAACGTCACTCGGCAATTTTTCAATATTAGGTAAAAGACCCCATTAATGACATTAATGATACTATAAGAGTCATCATGAATATTTGAATTTTTTTATCGTGTTTCAAATCAATATTGTCAACTTTTTTTTATAGGACACCTTAATCATTATTTTTACTTATATAATTTACTTAATTAACTTTAATAGCAATAAATTTATCAACTATTATATCAACTTAAAACCAACAGGTCGAATGTATGTATTATTGACAGCGCAAAAAATTCAAAGAGCCGATTATTGACCTTATTATTGACAAGTCTTCTATTACAGTTAAATTTATATTAACAACTAGCTGTTACCCGCCCGCTCCGCTGGGCACTATAGAATTGAATTTTGAGATCTAGACTTGAAATTCAATTGAAGTATTGTTTTGACTTGCACAGATTCCAAATTCTATCGGATTGGCCTGTACCTTTTATCCATGTCATCATTCTAGCGAATATCCATTGTAACTTACAATGTGCAATCACTATAACATTCACGATTTCAAGATTTGATTTTACGAAATCTCTTAAAATGAGTAGCCAAATTTCTTTTCCCTATCTCAAGTGTTTAGAAAATGTATTCATTTTAATCTGTTACATTCCCGCGATCCCGTAATAAGAACAATTCATCGGTTATGTGATCAGCAATAATAAAATGTATGCAAAGTACTCAGTCCGTTGACTATATAGCTACATGTAAAGTTGAATTTTAGAAATCTTACAATGACTTTTTCGCCGCTGCCAAAGAGACGATTGTTGTCAGAAAATATAATTATCAATAAAAAAGGAAAATATTTTAATCCGTTGACCTTGGAGGCCATCCCTGTAATTACCTGTTTCTCTTGAGATTCTATGAAATTTTATATCTGTAGAAAATATACTTGAAGAGTATGAATTTTTTGACAACTATCACTCCCGCACTCCTATGTGAGAGAGAAATTTCGTAAGATCCTATTTGAGATGATTTTTACATTATAAATAAAATATTCCAACAAAACTTCGAGCCCATGGAAACTATTGTTTTGAAAAGAGAGATTTTCATTGTTCACGCCTCCGCAGTCCCTTTTGGGGTTGGAATTTGATAAAATTCATTCTTAGCTGAACTTGACATACACGAAGACTCCCACCAAATTTGAAGTCTGTCGAAGTTACAGTTTGGAAATTAAAATTTGAGATTTTAACACCCACCCCCGCAATTTCTATCGGAAGTAAACTTTATTGAAATTCATTTTGAGATGATCTTTACAGGAGAAATAAAAGATTTCTACCAAATTTCGAGTTTTCAGAAGCTATATTTTGGAAATGAACATTTTTTATTGTCAACACCCACTCCCGCGATCCTTATTGGAGGTGATTCGTTGTAAAATCCGTTTTTAGATCATTTCTATATCACACATAAAATATTCCTACTAAATTTGAAGTCTATAGGAGCTATAGCTTGGAAATTAAAAATTTTAATTGTTAATACCCATCCCCGCAAAATCCTGTG